ATTTTATTTTAATCATAAAGTCAACTTACATTCTTTGAAATCTTTAGTTTTTTCGGAGGTGGTGAATTTTCTGGACTCCAGCTTCTCTTTGGCATCGATTTCGTTTCGAACGATTAACACCAGCTGTTACTTTCTTTTTTTGTTTGATTGTTTTATTGAAATCTTGCCTTCGTTTTTGTAAAAAATCGGAATTACCTATAGATATTAAATATTAATTATTGTATGTAAAAAAATAAATGGTTATTCATCAAATTTAATGGACTATTACAGATGAGAATTATTCATATATGACAGAAATGAATCTAATATTTAACAAATATTTTGGAAAACTTCACACAAAGTAATTAAAAAAATTTGAAATTTATTTAAAGAATATTTCACCAGGAGTAATGTATTTACTTAAAAAAAATATTGTTTTCAAATGTTAGCAAATTTAAGTTTTTATAAATGTTAAAAATAATAATATAACCTTTATGTCGATAAACAAAAATAATTAAATATCTTACTTGAAAAGTCGATCACTTTTCCTTCATATTGTCGTTTCTTCATATTGAATTTAGTAATATCATCTTTAACCAGCTCGTGAGGTTTTTTGTTGTCATCATTATCGATGATATAGGCGCAATTGTCACCATAGATAGCATTGAATTAAAAACATGTTTGATGCCTCCACAAACAACACAGATAAATTTGTAGAGTGAAATATTTAAAGTTTAATTAATTAATAAATCACATACAATTGCACATAAACAGACGCTAGTAGAAGACGCACACAGTTTATACTCTTATTATGCGACGGCATCCATGTTGAAATTGAATTACACCGGTGTGTCACGTGACATATAAAGTTGTGTGCTATACATGAGGACACTCACACATAGCTGTGCCCATATATATTTACTTGATGACTTGTGGCGTGTGATATATACATATGATCAGTATACCCACAAATGTATATTATGTAAACATTGCAAATAACACACTAATAAATTTAATTATTTCAAACACAACTTTTAATTAAATTATAAAATTTAAAAATTATTTGAGCAGAGAAAATCAAAATATTAACCTTGAAGGTAAGAACACAAAGGTCTTTTCTATAACAGAAATTTACAATGACCAGTTATTTATTATTAATTTTTAATTATGTAATATATATGTTTATTAAAATAAAATAGTAATTTTGTAAATTTCAAGACTATATCATGAATTTAGAAGGTATTAAATTATCGTTGTAGTTGAAAGAATAATTAATAAAATATAAATAAATCGAAAGTAAAAAATGCATTGGTTAGGAAATGGAACAAAAGGTATATATATATATCGAATCAACATGTCTGGTCTGATTCAACTCGAGTTGGATCCAGTTGGTCCAGCTCGATCGATATATAAAGATATAGGAATAATAATTAAGTATTTAACTATTAATCAGACCTGATCATGTCTATTCATGCATGATCAGACCTGAACGTATTTAACACGTCAGGCCTGTTCATGCATGATCATGCCTGAGCAGACCTGCAGTGTTAAATACGTCCAGGTCTGATCATGCATGAACAGGTCTGATCAGGCCTGATCAGACCTGCTCATGTCTATTCATGCATGATCAGGCATGATCAGACCTGGGCCGTAAAATACATTCAGGCCTGATCAGACATGATCATGCATGAACAGGCCTGATCAGATCTGAACGTATTTTACGGCCCAGACCTGATCATGTCTGATCAGGCCTGATCATGTCTGATCATGTCTAACGTCAGGTCTGATCAGGCATGAACAGGTCTGATCAGGTCAAATTTCAGGTCTGATCATGCATGAACAGGTCTGATCAGGCCTGATCATTTTTTCCCGGGTGATCCAAAAATAAACTCTGATTTACTAGTAAGAGCTTTCGCCGCGAACTCTAGCTCCAGTAATTATGACAAAGACTTTCTACAATATAAGAATCAAATAGAAGGGGCCAACACTGTATTTAACTTACAAGATAATAGTAACTCGCTTAATGAAATGTTCACACTGCATGAACTTCTTTTAATAATACACCAATTAGGCGATTCTAGTCCGGGCCCTGACAATATTTCAAATACCTTAATCAGAAACCTCTCTGACTTAGCTCTTGAACGACTCATAGACATTTACAACTATATCTGGATTAATCAAGTTTTCCCTGACCAGTGGCGAGAGGCTATTGTCATACCCATACCAAAGCCAGGTAAAACCGCTACGTTGACAACTAGTTATAGACCCATTTCCCTTACTTGTAATCTATGTAAATTGTTTGAAAAAGTCGTAAGTAACAGATTGAGATGGTATTTGGAACATAATCAACTAATATCCCACCTGCAATTCGGATTTAGGCAATTTAGATCAACTTTAGATCATTTAGCTCACTTAGAACATGATATACTCACATCTTTTGCAAATAAAAATAAAGTAGTAGTGGTTTCTCTGGATTTGGAAAAAGCCTATGAAATGGTGTGGAAACATAGGGTTATGTTGATCTTGGAACAGTTCAATGTAAAGGGTAACATGCTTGCCTTTATTATTAACTTTTTGACTAAGAGATCCATAAGGGTTAAAATCAATGGTGTTCTATCTGATAAGCTCTACACGGAAAATGGACTACCTCAGGGGTCAGTTTTGAGTGTCATCTTATTTTTGATAGCTATAAATGATGTTTTAGAAGGTATAGAGAGACCTGTGAAAGGTTGTTTGTTTGCAGATGACTTGACAATATTGTGTAGCGGCAATACTCTTAAACCAACAGAGAGGCTCTTACAATACACCTTGGATAAACTTAATGAATGGTGTAAACATACCGGTTTTAAATTTTCCGAAACAAAGACTGAATTCATGATTATTTCGTGTAGAAAAAGCAGAGATACAATATGTTTAACTATAAATAATCATAAAATCAGGGAAGTACAAAATCTTAAAATATTAGGTCTAACATTTGATCAAAAAATGAACTGGGTTACTCATATTAAAAAACTAAAATCAGAATGTTATAGTAGGATGAATGTTATTAAAATATTATCAGCTATTAAATGGGGTTCGGACAGTAAATGCATCAAAAACACGTATAAAGCATTGATTAGGCAGAAAATTGATTATGGTTCTATTATATACGACTCGGCTTCTTCTAACATTTTAAAACTTTTGGAAAGCACACATAACACCTGCCTAAGATTAAGCTTGGGAGCCTTTAGAACTAGTCCAACCAATAGTATCCTGGTTGAGGCAGATGAAATGCCACTAACGTTAAGAAGAAAAGAGTTGTGTCTTACGTATGCCGTCGGCCACATGGCTAATTACAAGGATTCGTTTCTCTCAAAAACCACCTTACAATCTGATATCGAATACAACCTTCGCCCGTCTCTTCCTCTTCCATTAAGATTAAGAGTTCAAAAGTATGTAAACGAAATTGAATTTAAACTTCCTCCTACTTATTCTCGCCAGCATCCTAAAAAACCGCCATGGGAAAAAATTTACATCACAGTTAACTTAGATATAGCCAACAAACACCCCCGAGATAACACTCCTGATTACATTTATAAAAACATGTTTAACCAACTTAAAGATAGCTATCCGGACTATGTACATTACTATACGGACGGCTCGGTTTTTAAAGGAAGATCAGGTTGTGCGATAGTTTCAGGAGATGAGAGCTACAAGTATAGATTACCCGACTACTCATCTATCTTTACATGTGAAGCAGTTGCTATGCTGAAATGTCTAGAGGTAATTAAGAACAAAACGAGCATCAATAAAAGTATCATTTTTTCTGATTCAATGTCGACTCTCAAGGCCTTAATAAATATTAGAAATAAAGAACCTTTAATAAATCTAATAAGAGAGAACATACTTAATCTAGTCAATAATAATTTTGTCATAGAATTAATCTGGATTCCTAGCCATAAAGGTATTCCCGGCAATGAAAGAGTGGACAAAGAAGCTAAAGAAGCCACAAAATATGATAATTGTAATAACATTACTTCTAATATTCAAGACCTTAAAAAGTACCTTAAACTGAAGGTAAAAATGTTATGGAATAGCTATTGGGTAGAAGATAATAATAGTGCTTTGTATGAGATAAGGAAAACAGTTTTTGAAAAACGCAATTTTCTGACAGATAACAGAAAAGATCAGATAGTTTTAAATAGATTAAGAATAGGACATTGTAATGTAACTCATATACATCTTATTACTAAGGAAGCTAAGAAAAAATGTTCAAGATGTGATAGTGACCTAACTATCAAACACTTACTAATTGAATGTCACATGTATAATAAAGAAAGATTAGAAGTTAGTCTACCTAAGAATTTAAAAGATTGTTTAAACAATGTAGAAAAGACTGTAAAATTCCTAAAACTAATTAATCACTATAATTTAATTTAATACCGTGAACCTACAGAGGTCGCTAATGACCCTAGATGTTTGAGCGACCTTAAATAAAGAAATAAAAAAAAAAAAAAAAAAAAAAAAAAAAAAACAAATAAAATGGACGAATTGGTTGCGAAATCTATTCGTAAACCAATTGTATAAATATATCATCACAAAAACATCAAAATCTCTAAAAAAACAGTGTAATAAAAATAGTTGAACTAATTTAACCTACAAGTACCTACATTTAACTTAAATAAACACTAATTTTTGAAACCGAAATAAAAATGTAATAATAAGAAAGTATTAAAATGGGTATGTATTTAACCAATAATACAAAAGAGCACAAAAAATCCTTCTTCAACGTATCCGAACGAATCATAATTGTTATGTTTTTCTGACGGGTTTGCGTACTCGCTCGCTCCTGTGCAGATAAGCAATAAAAATTGTGAATAAATATATCGCTCTCATTCGTTTTACAAGCTTGCCAGGCTTACTTGCTTGTTTCGAATAATTGAGCTTGAGGCATTTATTTGCGTTTTTTAGTCATCATTTTACTAAAATATCTATGAATTAAATCGAAGTGTTACTAATTTGATTATTTAGTATTATGAAGAATGGAATGTTCACATTTATTAGATAACATCAAGGTAGATGATTTCAACGTTGAGGACACGGCGATCACAAAGAACTTTAACTGTTCAGGTAAATAGATTCATTAATTTATAAACGACATGCTCAGTTAGTTTCGTACTAAATATATTTGTAAAAATAGCCGCATTGTGTTCATAGTAGGAGGTTAGTTTCGAAAAATCAATACAGCGAACTTTAATAATCAGCTGTTCGAAGTGAACGGGAGGGGGGCGCGACATGGGTGACCGTGACTGACGATGTCGCATTTCTGACGCGGTGGGTTAAAATAATGCTCTAAACATATCACGTAGGGCTATTTTAGACTATGAACTTGTAGACTTTCATGGCATTGGTCGCTGTACCACAATTTATGACAACTTTTTTTTTTGTCACAGCTATCATATGCTATACGCGGAAATGATAAATTTGCAAATTATCTCTAAATGTGACCTATAGACAAAATCTTTTATCTTGTAAACTTCGCAAAATATTGGACTAAAAACGATATCAAATGCCTCAGTATCTGCATGATAAGGACACAAATATTATAAAATAAAGTTCCCTTGCCCCATCTCTCTTTCTGTCTGTATGAAGGCAGAACCGAAATTTACTCACAGATTTCTATTAAATAAATAGGTTCCCTATTTATTTCATAGAAATCTTTTAGAATTTAGTTAATGTGTAACATCTACAAACCAATAAGATTCTTGTACTCATGTAGACTGCATAGAAATTTAAATACTAGTTGCTGTCTCCCCATTTTCCAATATACAGTTAGTACCTACTTTCCTCATGTTGAGTAAAATACTGTAACTTAAGAGTCTTCTCTATATTTGCAAAACGAGATGTCAACTTTATACATGTTGAAAAAAAACGAATAATGATTTAATATTTTATATTTTAATTAAAAATCTATAGTCTAAAGTGTATATAATTTGTGTGTGTAAAGTGTATTAATATGAAGTTTACATAAAAATCAAGGCCTATTCATGATGTAGGTACTTGTGGAGTACTTCCTAAATTTAGAATATGCAGTACATTTTCATTAGGGCCATTTTAAAATTTCTGTATCTTTTTATTTGTTAGAAAAAAAATGTGTTTTTTTTTTCATGAAGAATGTGCTGTAGAGGATCAGAACTGGTTATGCCTGCAATGTGGAGCTGTGAACTGTGGCCGTTATGTCAATGGCCATGCAAAACAGCATGCAGAATCCTTGGATCACCAGCTTTGTATGAGCTGTGATGTCTTTTCTGTTTACTGGTAATTTTTGCATGTAATTTATATTTCTATGTTCTGTATGATACAACTAATTTCAACTTTGATTAGCTGCAAGCATGTAATACTGCCTATTATAATAAAAGTCTATATTAGAAATCTTGGAAAGGTCTAAATTATCATACATGTATAGGTATATTTGAAATAGTTCAAAGTGAACACAGTATAAATTTATGCATGGTATTCACTTAACAAGAATTTTTTATTTTGGCAGAACTCATTAAAGAACTACAATGATAATATTTAATGGATGAACTTTTTCTAGGGATTCATAGGGATATAATCTGACTTATTCTGTTACACTCTCTGATAAACTCATTAGGCATAGGTGAATATTAATTTTTATAAAATTTAATTGGACAAAAGTGATTGTAAGTTGTTATATTATGTAAATGTAGGTTTTACTAGTATTAACAAGTAACCTTTTCGTGATTAAAAGATTACTTTGGCTTTCCAGCTATAAATGTGATGATTATATTTCAAATGATCTGGAGTATAAACCAATAGATAAAATAAGGCAAAGTATTATGCATCTTCAAAAGCAGAACAACATAGAAGTGAATGGAAAGACAGAACAGAGTGAAGAGAGTAAGGATGACAGTGATGCTGGTAACAGTACCATTTCAAGTGTATCTATAGTGGAGAAACCCTCATCACCAATTCGTAGTGTCAATGGTTGTACAGTACCTGACGTTGTACCAACTAGCTCTTTTAGTGAATTACCAAATGCTGCTCTGGAGAGTAGCGAAAGTAAACCATCAAAAAGTATAAAGGTGAGACTTAATATATTAACTATTTCATTTGTCTCGTATTACAACAAACTATTATGTTATATCAATTTATTAGGAATACAGGAAATGGAGCATATTCTTAACTGAGGCATTTTCTTTTGCCTTCTCTGACTATAGGCAAGATTACTGTAATTATAATTGCTATCATTGTTTGGATTAGCAAACCTAGGGTTTGTGGTTTTCCCTCCACACAAACTAAAGTGATTGTTCAAACTGATAAAAATTTCATAGCAGGGGTGCTATGAAATTTTCAAAACCTCATTTTTTCCAAATTTCAGATAACCTTTAAATATTGAAAGTCTGGTAATCTTGTATGCAGTAAATCAGAACTTTGTATGATCTCAATTTCGTAAGAAATAAATAAAATTGTTTAGACTTGGGTTACTTTAGGTTTCATGTGGGTTATAAGGTCCTGTAATCAGTTTTACTGATGATGAATATTATTTATAATGAACAAATTATTACTATTTGTATTTTCCAGGGTGAAGAACCAGTAAGAAGTCTAAGGCCCCGTTCGCGGAAACGGACACATTCTGATGATAGTAGTTCTACAGAAAGCACAACCCAAGCGCCTAGAAACAAGGAGAAGAAAAGCTCATGCAATGGCAAAAGTTTACGAGAAAAAAAGATAGTAGGATTAAAAAATTTAGGAAATACATGTTTTATGAATGCAGTGCTGCAGAGTCTTAATAATATACAAGAGTTCAGTTGTTATTTTAGTCAACTACCATCTTTAGAATTGAAGACAAATGGACGAAAGGTGTATCACTCAAGGAGTTACACACGACAAGAGATGCATGATGTAGTCATGGCAGAAGAATTAAGAAAGGTATATTCAACTAATATATAATATATTTTGTTAAAATTATGGTTTCTAGTAAATTAAATTTGCCTGGTATAAACATTGCAATGATCTTAGATGAACTCTCCTCTCAAAAACTATTGATAAAGCGATTTTATTAAAGCTTTATGCAATAAATGTCAACACCTAAGGAGGAACTCTAGGTTAAAATCGCCCCAGATATATTGGGGTTGCGGGAGTCGTTAGATTGGAGCATAGGACTGGTTGTTGTGGTGAACCTTGAGGTAGGCCCAAATTCCAGCAGATAACGTCTTTCGATGATGGAATTGGGTTCATCACTAGGTTGTGCCTGCTGCTTACTTACATGAATGTAGATTTTGGCAATTGATTAAAGTATCTCTCATTAACATTAACAAAGAAACCCACTTTCACATTTACCAAATTATTAGGATTTACATTCTTCTAAGCTTGCTATTTTATTTTTATTTTATTGTTATTTGTTGTTTCAGGTATTAATAAACTTGAACAGTGGCTGTGGAGCAAAAGGCGCTATATCTCCTGAATGTCTGTTCCTCGTTATCTGGAAAGTAGTTCCAAGATTTCGTGGTTATCAGCAACAAGATGCACATGAATTTTTACGTTATATGCTAGATAGGTAAGAATGTATGATATCTCTATTTACATTTATCTAGGTAAATAAAACTTATTGCAATCATGTAACAAATGACAGTAAGTACAGTAGGAGACGGTTTATGTAATATGGCGACTTCCACATAGAATAGATAGAAAAAAAAGTACTGCAGCGCCATCTAACGGAGACACACCGAACTACGGAGCAACTGCTAGTCCTCGATCACGATATGAATAATTCTTACGCCGATTTCCTAATCTAAAACTTCCCAACATCAACTGTTGGGCCGCGGCCCGCCAGCCGTGATCTCCTCGCCTGGGCGGAGGATCCTCCCTTTGTGTTGGAGGGATTTGACATCCGTTCCTCCACAGAACCAGCACATTAACCATAACATCAGGAGACTGGTGTGTGTGGTTTTTGCAATTTAGAGACACTTAAGTTCTAAACTGATTATTCATTAGTTATAATTGACTCAAAGGTCAATACTAACTGACTTATTGTTGATAACAGTTTAATATTCTGAAAATAACTGTATTCTTAAAGGGATATGTATGTTCGTTTCAGATTACATACAGAACTACAGCAGTTACTACCGGCTGATAGGACGGAAGTCGGCTACGTGCCACGAGCGCCTTCTGCGTCTATCGTCACGGCGGTATTCGGAGGTACTCTACAGAGTGAAGTGAGTATAAATGCATATAAATTTAATTTGTACTAATAAGTATAAATGCAGTCCTAAATAGTTTCAAGAATTAGATTTTCTATGATATCCGCTAGAGAATGATAGAATTTTTAAATTGTAATGCGACCCAAAATTATTCAAAAATAAAATAGAGCCTAAATGTGGATGTAAATTGATTTGGAAGGATTTTTTTGTAGGTGAGATGCTTGGCGTGCGGCACGGAGAGCAAGAAGTTCGACCCGTTCCTGGATCTGTCGCTGGAGCTGCCCGACACCGGCGCGGCCGTCGCTCTCGCCGACTGCCTCGCCAGCTTCGTGCAGGTCAGCTGCGACCTACCACCTACTGTCATTACTCTTTGCACTTGCATTCAAACCAAACTTCATTTAATTGTGAATATGAAAATAACATAAACCAGTAAAATATATAGCAAGATTAGTAAAGCCCCACCCCGTTAGTACCTAAAAGTCTGATTTTATAAATCACATCATGCGTAAATACACCATAGAGATAATATAATAGAAGAAGCGAAAGAGGAAAAGAATATTGTTTTGGTCTTGCATCTCTCTCTCTTCTCTGCACTGATGAACCATACAATCAGTGAGAACAGCAGAGAGAGTTGCAAGATCAAAACAATCTTCTTTCTCTCTCTACCAACCGCATATGACAGCGCTTAGTTCGCTTCCTCTATATGCTCTTTGATATACAATCAGTCTTTGTCCCCGAAGGGGTACCCAGAAGCGTATGCAACGCCCACATTATGCCGACTATAATTTTAGTCCCACTTACGTAATAATAGACCAAACGGCCCGCTTTTTATTATATTTTTTCCAATAGTAACTTTATTTATTTATAACTTTATGCACATTTGTACATCGGCGGACTTAATGCCCAAGGCATTCTTTCCCAGTCAACCTTTAGGTAGTGTAGAAATCGTGAGTAGTAGGCGCATATAGGTTATAACACTAATCACTAAGATATACACTACACATAAATATACACATACATATACATACACATTATATATAAATACACATACACACGCTATACATATATATGGATCTACACACATACAGACATATATTCTCACTATATTCGTACACCATGAGTGTAGGCAAGTTGGTTGCTGCACTCTCGATTCGATGATTCTGCCGTCTCATTAAGAAGGTTGTGTACTTTCTTTTTGAATACGGAACGGTTTGTGGACATCCTGATTTCAACCGGGAGCGCATTCCAGACTAACTTCCAGAGTAACTTTAATTCCAGAGTAACTTTAATTCCAGAGTAACTTTAATCCTTATTTTATAGGTGGAAGAGTTAGCGGACACGGAACGTTATTTTTGCAGCAGTTGTAAGTGTAAACAGAAGTCAACCAAACAATTCTGGATACGCAGATTACCTAATGTTCTATGTTTACATCTGAAGAGGTTCCGGTGGCATAATTTCTATAGGTAAGTTCCAAGTTTTATTCGTGCGTCATTTTTTTATTTCATTATTCACTAGCTGGTACTCGCGACTTCGTTTGCGTGGAATTTTTTTCAAATTCCACGCAAACGAAGTCGCGAGTACCACTGTCTTAGTGTGTTCGATTCCTGGATCGGGCAAAATTTAAAAGGGATTTTCTGAGAAGAAAAATAGCCTGCGTTACTGCTCATATAGACAGCTACCTGGTACTAAAATATTATCAAAATCGGTCCAGCTGTTTAGAAGATTACCTGGAACAAACAGATGTACAGACAAAAAAAATTGGTTGCCTGTAAAGTCGGTATACGGGCGAAAGTTTTACGTGACAACGACTATGTCTGTCTCTCTCGCTCTTAGGCGGGCTAACCATGCCCGATTGGAAGGGACGCGTGCCTCTCACTCGCTCTCATTGTGAGCGCATAACGTGAGCGGAGCGTAACGCAGTTTCTTGAAGTGTCACCCGGCAAACCAATTTATAAGACGTTGTCACGTCAAAAAATAATTAAACTGGTTTTTAGGCATAGGTATCGTGCAAATAACTGTGTGAGCATGAAAAAAACGTATTAATTTGACATTACAAACAGACACTTCAATTTTAATTATTTGTATAGAGAAATGTGTAAGTTGCGACATTTATTTCTTTAAATATTATATGAAACTAATTTAGAAACCTACACGAAATATCTCTTATCACAACTTTAATGTCGGAGCAATTTATTTTTTTCTCATGGAATCATTACCTTACTTTTTTCTAGCTCTTGTCTTCTTTCATACATTCTTCTTCTAGTCATATTTGTTCTGGTCGTCTTGTAAAAGTGTCGTTACACCTCACATGTCTGTACCAAAATAACCAATTGCTCCTTCTCCTTTTCCACTGACCATTCTTTCAGACCTTTTCTACGTTACTTGTTAAGTCTCATCATGTCAAAATGTATATTACACCCTATCTGTCAGTCTTGCATTTTATGTTACACTGCCCACAAGTAACATAATAAATAACCCTTGCGTAATTGTCGTCTACGTTATATCGGTAGTCGGTTTCGGTCCGTTATCCACGTGCGCTATCCACGTGTTACGATAGTAAAAAACCAGTATGTACACAGGACTAAAGTGGATACGAGCATATCGTTCCCGCTGCGAGCTCTGGACATGTCTCGGTTCGTGCTGAGCAACGTGCCCGACACGCGCCGCTCGGGCCGCGGGAACAACCTCTACGACCTCGCCGCCGTCATCGTGCACCACGGCTCTGGGTACGACCATCTTAACATAATAAGGGACATCGATAATGGTCTTTCGAGCCACCTTTATATGGAAACGACAGAGAAAAATTATGTAGTAGCCATGTTAATAATGGGTACTAATAATACACGGAATTACCGTTTAAGTTCTTTAGAGACAATGTAATTTGCGTTTAAAGTTTTCCTTTTTTAATGGCATCGCAAACGAGCAGTCATCTCTGGTAACTTCACTCATTTGGTGAAAAGAGCTGCTTAACACTGGTTTCCCGTGAGGCCGTGATCGGACGGCTCCCCGTGAACCACGTCGCCTCCAATTCTTCTTCGAAAATATTGACTAGTATGTCTTTCAAACAGAGCGGGATCAGGTCACTACACGGCGTTCGCGATCAACGAGGAGCAGTGGTTCCACTTCAACGACCAATCGGTGCGGGCGTCGGACGCGACGGTCGTGGCGGGCTGCAAGGCCTACATCCTGTTCTACATTCGCCGCGAGCCCACGTGACCTCGCCCCACCCGCCCGCTCTCCCCGACGTGTCGCCGGCTGTCTGCCGCGGCCTCACTCTACATCACGATGTACTTATCGCTTTAGCGCTACAACTCAACGTCGTTCTGTACACTGAACGTAGTGCGAATGAGTCGGGGAAGTAAAACGTTCTATCCGTTTTCATAGTACGGTATAGTCCGATGCAAACTTAATGGCGACTCTACCTACCTACCTACAGTCGAGTCGACTTGACTATACGTAGACAGGAATATGCGCGCATGTGTGCAGTGTACGGATGTAACTCACACACCAAAAGGCATGCGTGTCGTGTGTCGCGCTGCCCCCGCGCTCCTGTACGTTGCTGTCTGTTATTGTGTTCTGCGCGTCGAAACGCACGATGTATCGAGCCGCCATTAAGTTTGCATCGGACTGTACTAGACTGTTTCTGTTTCTTATTCTGTACAAATTTGTATGACATAATGAGTTATGACAACATCAAACTATTGCATTAACAAGTAAACAATAGTAGGAACATCAGAACAGAGACAGTAGAGTTTTTCATGCTGTTGTGTTAAACTTAATGCCATAAGATCCATAGCAGACTACCTTATTAAGTATGTCTGCGATGTAACTCTACTCACTTGCACCAATCAGTGTACACGTCTTAAATTATACTAAATACTATATAGTTAATATATTATGAGTCAAATTAAATACCTCATCTTTGAAATTAGTGACAAGAATCAGTAATAAGACCTGTAAGTTCCAGAAGAGTGTGCCTACTTATATCACTTTTGTCTGTATCTGTAACTTTTATTACATTTGACTGCATTTTATGCACAGTAATATCATCTGCTTTTCACGATTGTAGAAACAAAAATATCCAAAAGTTTATTTCTAAAATTGTGAAATGGATTTTGAAAACTACAAAATGTCCAGAGAGGAAGATGTTGTTCTGTGCCGACAAGGATGGGTGTTTCATTAAAAGGGTCTCTGCTCTTTTAATTGTGACTTGAATGAATTTTGCATTGTCCTAGAGTAAGTTGGAAGAGGCGGAAATGTAACAAGGTTGCATACATCAACAAAACCATTAATTTTTATTTATTTCATCAGTATGATGGCAAAATGCGTATGAGATTGTTGTGTGATATTTGAATCGCAGTGATTATTAGTATATAAAGTTTGAGCATTTTAAAAGTAAATCATGTAGTTAATATATTTATCCCCAGTTATTGAATCATTAATATACAGTACATTTAAAAGTCCGTAACACAAGCATTCCCGTGTCATAACAGAGCAGGTCTTGAAAATTTCATAAAACTTGGATTCGTACAAACATAAGTTGCCTTCACAGATACAAGGATATTTTTACTCGAGTATAAAGAGTTTATTCATAGTAGATGTAGATTTTAATGTAAATGAAACACGTCTCTTATTAAATCTGGTTTAAATAGTTCAAATTCTTAACAATAAAGAATTAAAGCATAAATAAAGATAAGGTGGTTATTACACGTGCTGTCTTCCAGAATCTAGATTTGAATCACTTCCTTTTTAATATTCTGTTTTTATATATTATGTATTAGCTGAATGATATTGCTCATTTGACTATAGGTATACTTTTTATTGTACATTTCAAAAATGTTTGTGTGCGGCGTAGAAAATATACATAGACCAGTCAATCACAATGAGAAAATATGGAATATACAGACAAAATTTTGTAGAAAATCTGTAGAATTGAGATAAATCATGTCTTCTCTTTAAAAAAGTGGGTTTATTTTTATATAAAACTGTAATAAACGAACAGATCAACTACATTTTATTACGGACGAAAATCCTTGCAAAGACACGAAACATTAAGCCAACTCTTTTCTATAGAAAGGCTCGTGTTTAGTATTTAGCGTCACGGACAAGCCTACCTTGAGCCATTAATAACAATAATGATGAGCCATGCTTTTGTACGTCGACGTCACAGAGACCCAGTGGTACCAAATTTCGTTGCTTTTCAACGCGTGAGTGATGACGTAACCGGAAGTTCACCCCCCAACTCCTTGTGGGGGTGGGGAGTGGCGGCAACGTTGAAACTACCCCATATCTTTCTTTGTGCTCCGTGAAGATAAATACAAAATATTAAGGCTAGCTTTGTTTATTAAATCTATCAAGTGTAAGAAACTATTTTGCCATTAATAGGGGTTTATTTTTTAAATTGCAGTGACTTTTACTCTGCTAGTGAAATTTACCTCTTAATAAGTCTTTGAATGAAATGGAGTTTATTCAATGTAAAGTATATTGTAGCAATCGCCTCCTATAGTCAAAATAATGTTATAGAATTATCTGTTAATACGGGTATTATTTAAAATCTTCAATCAAAACCCATACTAAAAATTTGTATTTTTTACAAGTTGAATATTTGAAATTGACAATTTTGGTATTTTGTTTGCAAGATTTTGAATGGTACTCAATGAATACTTAAATGTAATAGTTTATGCCGTTGTTGAGATAGCAATAACATACAGACGGGTGGATTGAAAGCTTATACATCAAATGTGCAATTTTTTATATATGTTTATATATTGAGAACTATACTAACTGGTAACTAGTGGTTTGCCATATGATGCATTTTACCTAATGTGTTTATGAAACTGGGATTTTTGTTTAGTTATGACGCACAGTCTGTTTGCAGTAATAATATTGCATGATACTACTACTACATTCCCGTGATATCTTATGGATTTTGAGTTTTATTTTTTTACTGTTTGACATATTATTTTGGTAGCGCGAAATTGATCCTTGAGGGCATTTGAAACACTGAAACACAACTGTCTGTCTAAACGTAGTCTTAGTTGATAAAAATTGACTGATATCTAAACGGATTTTTGTTCCTGAAGTCAGTCAGTCAGTACACTTTTAGCTACTCATGAAATAATCAGTTTTATGGACGATTAGTTCCATGAATTCTGTAAAGTACACATTGCTGTTTAATTTTGCGCTACTAAGATAGAAACCACATTACGAGAGCATCGTTCTGTGTAAAATATTGTGATAGTATAATCTTGTGTATGTACATAAAACTGCTAATGACTATTTATGTCGTGAAGTCTCTTTTGCGAAGTACCTTTAAATAGCAGGTTTATTTTGTGTAAGTACCTACTTCAATTACTGGAAGTTGATAGTGATTGAATTTAATAAATTCGCCAATTTAAAGATCATATGTTGTTTCATTTAATAACTAATTGATTTTACTTACAACACTTAAGAAAATTTATTAAACGTTTAAACCACGTTTTACGTTCTTCTATGCTACCAAGGGATAAATGATAGGAAACGGGACTGTCCGCTATTGGCTTAAACTTAGTCCAATCGGATGGCTTCAAAAAGGGTACTGTGTTTTTCATCCATAAGTGATCAACGATGTTATTGTCATCAGTATCTAGGATGCTTTCTGATTTCTCCGATACATAGTCAAAGACACTGGTCTCTTTTTCATCTCTTTCGTGGATCCATTCAGGACTTTCTAAGTTTTCTATCGGATGAGTTATTTCAGATTTACGAAGTGTAGAAGTGAGATGAATTACTGGCGCGACTAATTTCACATTATTATCGCCGCGATCTCTCGGCAGTTCTTCATTAGCAGCGTCGGCGTATTTAATTTTATTAATAGAGCTCATATCGTCTGTATTTGCTTTAACAGCGTTTTTTGCACTGTTGGGCTTTCTCTGACACGTGTCACCATTGGCCTCATTATCGACATGCACCTCGACGTCTACCTGTAGTTTTACACCATCTTCACCATCATCATCATTTTGTAACACTTTTCCTACTTTATTATCTTTTTCTTCTGATAAGTTAAAAAATGATTCTACCCAACTATCACTTACTGATTTATGTTTCAACAATCGCCGCCGATCCCTCGGGGATAAACTCATCCAATTAATTATACTTGTCGATTTCTCATGTTTACCAACTCGTTTCCCGCCTTCTTTAGTAGTTTCAGAGACACACCAGTTGTTAGAATGCACTTTTAGTTTTCTGCTGGTGGATTTAACAGATTTGATAGATTTTTCCGGGGTAGGTTCTATGTTACGTTCCGATATTTCCATAACTGTAGACAATCTAGGGACCAATGTGAGGTCTAATCTAGGAATGTATGTGCCAGGAATCGGTGACCCTATTCGACGAGATGTATCATTGGTTTGTTCCCCACTACTATCTGTAGAATTAGAAGAACTACAACTTTTATCGGAAGGCACTTCTTCAAAATCATCATCTCTTAATAAATGTTTATTTTTAAATGAATAAATCCAAATGGTTCGCGTTTCTTGGTCTAAATCAGTATCATAGGTTATAATTTCTTCGTTATAAAAGTTATTACTACACTGGTCCCAGTCATTACCTCCACTCATTACAACGTCAGCTGTCGTTATTACTTCAACATCGGCGTATTGTCCATCAGATGAGTTATCAGAACTAACTAAATCATTGCTGGTCATACCAAAACAGTTCACGTTACGATTGTACACTAATTTGTCGCCAATACGCGTGTTGGAATTATTATGAATTTTTGAATGATGGAGGTCATAATTATTTTCGGTGTTAACGCCGTTGTCCCGAACATTTGGTTCTAGCGACGTATACGTGCCAATCGTATGATGCCTAGCGTTTTGTAATCTCCGTCGTTCTCTTGCTAGCTCGTTGATTTTGTAACTGTTTTCTATTTGTTGCATTTCTTCATTATTTACATAGCTCCAAGCATGTCTCCTGCCATCGCGATTTGGTTCTCTTGGTGAGATCTCTTCATTTGAGGAGTTTAATTCTATGATTTCCACAGCAGGCGGTAGCTCATCATGTAACCATGTTGGGCGACCAAGAATATCTGTAACTTAAAAAAACGGTTATATCCCTTAGGTGTTGTATCACTCTAGACATCATTCATCATCGTCATACTATCATACGTTATAATGTTAACTGTAGCTAAATTCCGATCATCCATAGATTAATTAAAAGACTGGTTGTGTACTATAGCTTTAGGTCATATAATGTAGTCAAATGCAGTTTAATTATACCTACATATGGATCCTTTAAACACATTGGTAGGTGTATAGCCTAGAAATAGAGTTGAGATTGATTTCATCTATTGTATCTACCAACGATGTTAGACAAATGTACACCGTACAAGGCAAGAAGATACTTACAATCAAATATATTATTATCGTCAATAGTTTTGTTCTTTTGCCTACTCATATCTAGGCGTGTGTATATTTTGTTGTCACCTTAATTTTATATATTTATATCTTTAACTTTTGGTTAATGGCTTTGTGGTAGAATGTAACCACAATTTCGCCAATTATATCTTTGTATTTTGCGATGCGAATATTTGACATTAAATACATTGACGTACAAAAACGTATGTAGGTTGTGTAAAAGTAGGTAGTATCGTGACTTGTGTGTATGGACATGCCTTATGCCCGTTTGCCACCCGCCGCGCCGGTTAGGGCTGTGATATTGGACCATTAATAATACTAATAATAATAAAATTTGGACATTGAGGACATAATGTAGCAAAATAGACGATCCTCTTGTTTCAGGCGTAATAAGTTACACCGTGTTATTATAGTAGGTCTAAGTCCGATAAACGGGTGATAAAAACAAAATTGAAATGGGTAATAAATATAAATTGTTTATAGTAGTACCTTATAGTAGACTTATCATACTTTTTCTCCTAAAAGTTAAAAACTGGTATGAATTAACTGTAATAAAATTATTTACTTTTAATGTTTACATTTACTAATAAAAATAAGAGCAATTTTAATAATAAACAATAATTTACGTATGTAAAACTTCTTAGTGATTTCTATACCTCGGTATATCAAACACTGAATTCACTAGGGACTTTATGCGCACACCTAAGTAGGTAAATAGTGTAAATCATCATCATTATCATCAACAGCCTTTAATAGTCCACTGCTGGACATAGGCCTCTCCTTAGAAAGGAGGCTTTGGCCAACTATACCACGCTGGCCAGACGGGTTGGTATAGGGTTTGTGTCAAGTTTTCCTTCTCTCTGCAGGGCTGTTAAATAGTGTAAATGCCTTTTGTCAAAAGGGTAGATGCCTAAGATGAAAGTAAAAAAAATTTACTTACTTTCACCCAAGGTAACTATATAGCTACACTATGGATAAAAGGTATTTTTCTGAAATCAAAATGGTCAAATCAAACACCCAAGGAATTGAAATAAATTTGGTAGTAGTTAATAGTAGATATGTTTAAACGGAGATATAATTATCTACAAATGGAGGACGAATTCTGTACGTTAAATACCTATTAGTTACTTGTAGCGAGGACCATCTTTACTGTAATGCCCTTGTCTCGTTTGGTAGAATTTCTTAAATTGGTTTGTTTTAAATGGATGAGCCAGATGCCAGATATTGCTTGACTGACGAACTAGTATTTGTCATGGGTAATGATGGAAATGTCGTGATGTTAGAGTAGTCAAAATTCCGATTTCCATGCGAAATTACAGGTGTTCCTAGCACTAGTAGTCTGTGAAGTATAGTGTGGACAGACGGACGGACGGATATCCGGAAACTACTTATAAGTGTTCCGGTTTCGCCATTTTGATACGGAACCCTAAAAAAAGTTTTACCCTGTTTAGTGCGTTTTCTAAAACTAATATCCAATAAATTAGTTATTCATTATTTTTTCGATTTCTGCGAAAAACAATTGTCTGAAAATTTTATCATGTACTTAGATGAAAAAATAGTAGCTGTTTATTAGTTATAAGGTGGGTGGCCCATGGAAGGCCACGCTCCTTTGAAGGCCAACTATTAAAAAGTCGTAGTTATTGACATGTAGAGACATATTCCTTCTACTACACACTACAATCCATCAAACTGAAGGCCACAGACGCGGCTGCGAGTCGCTCGCGCGTCTTAGTCAAGTTTTTAGTTAAATAACCTATTGTTTCCTTATATTTTTTATTGTAAATTGTCGTGCAAGGATATTTTTATGGAACTCAAGAAAAAAAAAATTAAATTGCCTCGATTTAAGTGAAAATATTTGGAGTGTTCCTAGGAAAGCCGGTGGTTCCTTATAAGGCCAATCAAAAATTTCACGGTTGGCCTTGCTAGGGAACATGGGCCTTACATCTATAAACCATGAACATATGAACACGTATTTTGTAGTTATAAATACGTACCATTAAAGTTAAAACAATGTTTTATATTTATAATTTTTTTTAAGGGTTTTCTAACTTTTAAACTCAGATTGAATAGACATTTTTTTCAAAATTATTTTATTTTCAGTATATATTTAAATTTATTTTATGTCTATGAAGAGGTTATGTCTGGAAATAAACTAAACTAATTTACATGAAAAGCAACGAATATAAAAAATATTTGCTTGTTAAAAGCGGTAAAGTAAGTATGACATAAGTTAAAAATTGTATATCTAAGATAGTCTGTCTAAAACTATAATTAAAGCAAAAAAAAAAGTTATATCAATAAGTTGGTAATTGAACAGATGATTAAAATTTATACTATTATTTCAGATTTCGAGAATGTCACAGTCAAAACCTAGAAAAAGAGGTAGTAAATGGAACGAAGATAGTTTAAGACGAGCTATGGAAGCAGTACAAAATAATGAACTAAATACAAATGCTGCAGCGTTGAAGTTTAATATTCCAAGACGCACCCTTAGAAACCATTTAGTAAGCGGTAACAGTACTAAAATTATTGGGAAGACAACTATTCTCACAAAACAATTAGAAGAAGATTTTTCGCACCGAATCAAACGTTTTATTATTATTATTTTCGTTTTTTAATCTTAAGAACCGTTGATTTTAAATATTCCTGAGTACAAGACTGACTATGTGCCATGATAAGTTTGTAATAATTACAGTACGTCTGTAGTGTCTATTATTTTATTATAATTAATATAAAAAAAGTTAGGAACATTGTGGCCTTACAAAGAACGGAGCCTTAAGAAGGCCATATAAGGTAAAAAAAAAGTTTTTAATTTGATTATAAAACGCGTTGACAAGTTATTTTATATCAATATAATATTTATTACTACTAGTTTTAAATAATTTCCATTAATATATTCTTAGTTATACGATGGTGTTCAAGTAATGTTCATTGTGTTTTTTATAGATAATAAAAATATATTGTGCATTTAATGTTTCGCTTAAATGAAAGAGCTTATTATGTAGTTTTAGTAAAAGCGGATATATTAATTGTTACAACTCTATTTTTAAGTTGAACGACTGAATTATAATATTGGCCTTGTTTGGAGCCCTGTTCCTTGCAAGGCCATTTGGAAGAGCTTAATAAAACTTAAGTTTAATTAATAGTTATTAAAGCTAGGTAAAAAAAAGTGATTTGTATGGTACACAATAAACCAAAGTATTCCTTAACAATTTGTTTCCTTCATTTATCCAGTAAATATACGAATAAAACTTGTTTATTCTTTAGAGTGGCCTTCCATGGTCCACCCACCGTCTCTAGATATCCTAAATCTACCGTGGGCTGGTGCTGTTATGTGTATTCTGTACCTTTAGTAAATATAATTAAAACAATTAGGTGAGTTTTTATACGACACTTAAATTCTTTTTTTGTTTACTGTTATTCTCTGACTTTTTTTTCAATCGTAGCGATTAAAGAACTTGAAGATCACCATTCAAAAATAATGGTTTTCACACTTAGATAAACCATACGTTTCTCAGCAAAATAGTTTGACAATATCTTACAAACTGTTTTCAACTGTGTGTGTTATCTTACAACTGTTACTCACTTTAAGGTACACTACCTTAAAGTGAGTCTTGTGTGCTGTAACAAGGCTCGTACTGTTCAGTAGTCGCACTGTTGGCGAAACAAAGTGTAAATGGATTGATTGCGCCAATTCCCGGCTACAAAGGGAGACGAAATTGCATTAAAAGCTCCGTGGCACGGGCCATTTGCCAAAGCACTTACTCCATTAGCGCGCCAAATAATGTTAGTACCTTAGTGCGGTGTTAGGAAATGTAGGTGTGAGAGTTTGTTATATAGTTTAGTGTTGTGTATTTGATATATTACCTACAACCAAAAGAGAAGGTTCATGTCATTTTAAACCTTTCTATTGCACTTAATTATATATAGCAAAGATAATATTAATTTCTGTTTCTTACTTTTCTGGGCTCCTTTACTCAGTTTTTTATGTTTAATACGAAACTAAATAGAAACAAGGAAGTATTTACTCAAGCATTGTATATACTTACAACACCATAAGTACCTTACCTTGTAGGGACTACCTTCCTTAGTTTTACAATCACCAATTTTAGTATGTAGACTACTCCTAGGACTACATAGCATGTCCTTATTTAATTTAAAATGTTATTATTTATCGACATGTTAGTACAATATGACTCGTGTATATGATGAGGCTGTTGAGAAAGTATTATATAGTTATGTAGCCTACATATATAGAAAGATAAGAAGGTACAATCGCATAACATCATAGTAGGTATATTCACTATTTCTTTATTTGGAGTCTCTAAAAATCAATAAAATCGAGGAAAATCTGAAATTTATTAACACATTAACACATTAAATGTGCGTCAATTAAAAGGTTATGTGTACAAAATATAGCTCGTAATGTTTTATTCTACAAAAAAGGAATACACAAACATTAGACTTGGGTGTTCGAGAGGGCCGCGCAGGCGGCGTCGAAAACGCGCGAGTTTCACGCCTCGCACGCGACAAAGGTTAATTAATTAGATTACGCTGCGCTTGAGTGGCCGGGCACTCATTGCACAACGCTAATTCGCAAATTAGCCGCCGACAAAGCGGGCTTTTATTCACTCCATTACAGTTCTGACGTGTTTTATCTCTATATTATACTTAGCATCTAATTAATTTCGATTAATAGGTATTCTGTCTCCTCGCAAAAATTCACTTATCTGTCTATTTGTCCTTGTTGACTTTCCTCGTGTTTCTGAAAGGCTGATCTACTCAAAAAATATTCTCTATTTAAGTAGGTATGTAGACTTTCAGAAAGCATATACGAGTATGCTTAGGCATACTTTTACATAGGCCCCATCATAGGCGTAGTGTGGAACAGCAGGGTTGTCAAAATAAAATGTAGCTAGAACTTAAGCAAATCTTTTTATACTCGATGTAAATCGCATTGTTTTAATCTATGTAAATGAAACCTTTCAGATAAGGCAGTCAATATTCTTAGTTAGATTTTATCACCACTATGTCTATAGT